CAATGGGCTCAAATGTAACCACACTTGTGAGACCGGGCTGTGTTTTGTTCTGGGGTGTGCACTGGGTCACTGTGAGTCAGAACCGACTCCATGGCACTTAACAACAACCAAAAATGTTCTCTCAGTCATTTAATGGTTCATTTTTTATTGCCTCTTACGGGCAAATCTTTGTTCTCTCCTCCTCCGTCCATCACAGTTATTAAAACTGTCAAGGAACTTACAGTCTAGCAGGGAACTTGGAATATAGGCACATGCATACACACCCGGTAGAAAATGACAGATGTTATAAGAGATATATCAACAAGCTAGAGGGATTCAGAAATAGAATTCGAGCTGGGCTTAGACATGCAGTGTTGGAAAGCAGGTTTTTCACTCTGGTGTTTGTGAAAGAGAATAATAAGAGGTTAAGACCAAAATAAAATAAATATTGCTGTGAGCTGATTGTGACTTATAGCAGCCCTACAGGACAGAGTAGAACTAACTGCCTGTTTTTCTACTCTCTAATTTTTACTGAGTACATCGCGAACCACCGACCTTTTGTTTAGGTATGTGCTTAACCACTGCACCATCAGGGTTCTTTAGAAGGTAAAATTGGGACCAAATTATGTCCCGACTCTGCCACTTATTATAGCTATGTGTTGTAGTTAAGTGCAGTCGAGTTGGTCCCAACTTGTACCAACCCTGGTTTCTGAGAAGCTGCTGGTACATTTGAACTGCTGACCTTGTGACTCATAGTCCAGTGCTTATACTACAGTGCCATACCAGGAGTCCTGTTAGCTACATAACCATGGGAAATTTATATAATCTCCATAGGCCTCAGCGTCCTATTAAAATGTAGAGATAATAATACCATCTGCTTGGGTGTTGCTAGAAAATTAAGTGAGATAATGCATGTTAAGTACTTTTGACACTGACACAACAGTAAGTGCTCAATACATTTTTCACGTTTTCTCAAGGAAAAGCATGGATGCCTGGCTAAGACATCTGTGCTTTTGTGTTGTTGTAAAGTGCCATTGAGTCAGTTCACACTCATCACAAACCTGTATAGGGTTTCCAAGGAGCGACTCATGGATTTGAACTGCCAACCTCATGGTTAGCGGTCAAGTGCTTATCCTACAGCATTGTAGAGAGCTGAGCCACAAATAAAGATTTCAAATAGGGGATGGTAAAAACAGAGCAGTGCCTTAGGAAGGTTAACTTGGCAGTGGATGATCTGGAAGTGAGAGCAAAGGAGACCAGAGGAAGCTGTTGTAATGGTCTAAGAGATGTAATGAGAGCTTCAACTTGGGTACTGACAACCATAGAATTATATAAAATGACTGAGAGGCTGGTGGTGGTGTCAAACAAATAGGAATCTTAAGAGAGGGAGCAGGTTTAAAGGTGAAAAATGAAAGGTCAGTTTTGTACATACTGAGTTTGAAAACCCTCTGGGATCTCCAGGTACAAATTTGCTTGTAACAGTTGGAAATCTAGTACTAGAGGTCAGGGCTTGGGGGAATGACTTGGGAGTTATTGTCCACAGATTGTAGCCAAGAGACTGTATGAGATTAGCAAGGGGGTGGTGGAACTATCGGGAGAGAAGAGAAGATCGCTAGCAACAGAACCTTACTCGGTGCTGTCAAGTCCATTTGAACTCAAGAACACTGTGTGTGTTACAGAACCGAGCTCCAATCACAGACGCAGATTGGCAGGCGGGTCTTCTGTAATACCACTGGAACTGTTCAAGCTGCCAGTTTTTCAGTTAGTAGTAAAGTGCAAGCTGTTTGCAGGTGGGAAAAGAAAGGTAGACATTCTAACTTGAATTGCCTTTCATAGAACATAGTGTTGCTGCCACCTGTTACCATCTAGCCTTTCTTCATGTCTCAAACTGATTGGGGTACTGTTTTCCTAATTGCCACAGCTAAATGGACCCATCTGTAGTGCCTCCTGTACGGATTTAACGATGGATGCTACAGTTGTTCTCACATAGCCCCTAAATTGGTTTGCTTTTTCTCTAAGGCTGATATGACAAGATCTATTACAGGTAGCCTTGAAGATACTATTGTTGTTGTGAAGTGCCATCGAGTTGGCTCCAAGTCAGAGCAACCTTGTATAGCGTTTCCAAGGAGCAGCTGGTGAGCTTGAACCATCGACCTTGAGGTTCAAACCGACCTTGCAGTCCAGCTTATTAAAATCCACAGCATCACACCAGGACTAATAGGGGGTCAATAACATGCCTGGCTCTTTTTCGTTGAAACTTTGAAAGTTGATTTTTGCATTGGAATTCCTTGGTTACTGTGTGAAAGCAGTAGTTATAAGGGTAAAGGTGGGGTCCTGTCCTGCTATGGTATCAAATTGCCTATGGATGTTTCTAGCACCAATTATTTTGTTCGTGCAACCATTAGTGCAATTTGCAGCCAGAAACGGAAAGGGATTTGAGGCAATCATCCTGGGCTTTCCTCAACTGACTTTTCTAAGAACTGAGGGAGTGCCTGCTTGTGCCTGATAGAGGGGAATTCTTTTCCATAAAGGGGAAATGACTTGAATTGTCCAATTCATTTTGTTTGTTTCTGATTAGATCCCTGTGTTTTAATAAACTTTTACAAGTAAGTAATGGGCAATAACCACAATCCATTTGGCTGACAAAGAAATCATATAGTGTTCTGCTGCATTATAAAAACACGTGTATAAGTTTGTGAGCCTTTAAAATTAACGATCTGGTACAATTCTCCACATACTCTACTAGGCCTTCTATGACCTTTCTCCCCTCTTCACCCCCATCCTCACCCCACCCCCACCTTATGTTAAAGGATTGTGTGTTTTTTGTTTTTCTTCCTTTACTTGGATTTAGGAAACTTCTAAGTCAAGCTGATTTTAAACCTATTTTCAGAATTCTCACCTGGTCTTGTTATAGCCAGAAGTTGTGCCTTTCAACTTCATTCATCTCTCACCACCAATTGCTATTTCTGCTAGTTGTGTGAGTGAAAGGGCCGGGGTTTGGGGTAAAGTGTTTCCAACCTGAAATGATCTATGAGTTAACAGCTAAATGCTATTTTAATATGGAGAATTTGAGAAGGGGCTCCAAAGCATAATACACGTAACCTGCATTGTTATAGCTTACATTTTAATTTCCTTTTCTCCTTGCAGTAAATACAAATGGATCCTAGGCGAGGAACCTGTGGAGAAGCAAAGAAGGCTCCAGAATGAGATGGCACCACCTCCTGTGGATTATTCCAAGCCTGGCCCTTACAAAAGGGTAGAGGCAGCTGTTGCCTACCCAGAAAGGGAGAACAGCCTTGAGAAATCTAGTGTTGTGGAGAGAAGCACACCACCATACCTTTTACCAGAATACCCAGAAGCTAACAAGAATGCCAGTCAGAGTAGGGAGCTTTCGGTTCTGTATTCACAGGCCAAAGGCCAACGCCAGGAGTCCCTGCTCCCTGAAGAATTAGAAAATCAGATGCCAAGATTGGTAGCAGAAGAATCCAACAGAAGTAGCTTAAATGTAATCAAAGAAGAAGTGAACAAGGGGCCCTTTGTAGCTGTTGTAGGTGTTGCAAAAAGTGTTAGAGATTCAGGAGCTCCCATTCAGCTGATTCCTTTTAACAGAGAGGAGCTGGCTGAGAGAAGAAAAGCAGTTGAATCCTGGAATGCAGTGCCTTATTCTTCTGGAACCCCTGCCACAACCATAGGGGAAAAAGGAAGGAGCTCTGAAGAGAGTGGAGGTCGTAGTACACCAAAACTGAAGCACCAGAGAGAGATGGAAGAACTAAAGAAGACCACAGAGAAACTCGAACATGTTTTGGCTGAAAGAAATTTCTTCCAGAAAAAGGTTAGATCAACACCTTACAACCCAGGAGTATGTAGTCATTGTAATCAAGGGAGTAGGGAGTAGGGAGTTGATAACTGTGATGATTTTATGTTCTCAGGCCTTTAAGCAAAAAAAAAAAAAAAGTGTCATTCAGTCATTGTGTGGTGTGTTTCAGGTTGAGTTTACCTTTCTTCCAAATTCGGGATTTTAAGGGTTCATAAGTAAAGCATTATGTATTGATATTAGGGACAAATTTGATGCTCTGTCCAGCTTTCAGTAGCATGTAGAATCACTGAATTTCTGTTTCTTGGACTGCAGGTAGAGGAACTAGAGAAGGAGAGAAATCACTGGCATTCTGAATTCAAGAAAGTCCAACGTGAATTGGTGACCTACAGTACCCAAGAGACGGAAGGCTTGTATTGGAGCAAGAAGCACATGGGTTATCGCCAAGCTGAATTCCAGCTTCTAAAAGCTGAGCTGGAAAGAACCAAAGAGGAAAAACAAGAACTAAAGGAGAAATTGAAGGAGGCAGAAGCACAACTGGAGGAGCTGCAGAAGGCTCAGGTCACCTACCGGACCCCAGAGGGAGATGACCTAGAAAGGTTAATTAATTACTAGGGTTTAGTTATCAGCTTGTGAGTGGTAATGGGAAGCATCCCCTAGGACTCCCAGTTCCTGTCAAAGATAAAGGGAGGAAGCCTTAATTCGTAGGTCACCGATTGAAGCTATTCTTTCTTAGAATGCCGCAGCCAGTCTCCCTGTTCTTGGTGGCATTGTGCTTTTGTTTTTCTTTCTAACTAATGGAAACATAATTGTTGAGAAATATAGGCCCATTGTTAACAAGCGTCATTGTTTTTCTGTTGGCTAATGACTTCAATGTCATCTCTTCTCCTGCCCCCTCACTCCGTCATACAGGGCTTTGGCAAAGCTTACGCGGCTGCGTATCCACGTCAGCTATCTCCTTACCTCTGTCCTCCCTCACTTGGAGCTTCGTGAGATCGGGTATGATTCAGAACAAGTGGATGGGATCCTCTACACAGTGCTGGAGGCAAATCACATACTGGATTGAGCACCAATCGCTATAGTCTTCTTTTCTCATTTCTCCTCCCTCCTCCCGCCATTTCTCTCTCCCTCCCTCCCTCTTTCTCTTCCACTCCTCTTCTTTCTTCTTCCTCTCTCTCCCACTTCCTCACCTTCATGCCTTATTAGAGACTCTTTGAGGAAATCCTGGCTCTTAATCTGCTTTTTACTCAGATTTAGCATGGAGAAAGAAGCTAGTTAAATAGGCTTTCAAGAGACCAGGGCAGAAAAGCAATAGTCACCAAGCTAGGTGACCTGAAAGGTTTTACTTTCATATGAACTAAATACTTAGCCAATTTCATAATGGTTTCTCAAACGGTTCATTTCAGTTTTAATCAGTCATCGAATATTGGGGCCAATGTACCAGGTGTTTGGGGGATAAACTAAGAAGTATAACTCTTGGCTCCGGACTTCAAGGATCTAACAATCTAGTTGGAAGCACAAGACACACATCAATTCAACTAAGTATACACAAAAGTTTGTGATGCGTACAAGTGAATGGTGCAGACATGATACAGAAGACCCGAGGAAAGCGGTCCCAGGAAGGCGTCACTCACACCAGGTGTCAAGAATGAGCATGACCACATTGTTGACAACAGCTGGGCTTTAGGTGGTAGGATGATGGTTGTTTTTTTTTTTTTTCTTCTTTTTATCTTCCTACCTCTCAAAGTTTCTATAATAAACCTGTTATTCTTGTAACGTTGGAAAAATAGTTTTTTGTTTTTTTTTTTTTTAAAAAAAAAAAGATGATTAGGTTTGGATTTAGATATTCGAGATTGTGTGAAAATATGAGGTAATGTTATATTTATAATTTATGTTGCATTAACATTACCTCAGGAAGAAAGCATAAACACACAGGTGCAGAAAAAAAAAACAAAAAAACTGGAATGTGAAAAATGTGTTTGGTAGGAGTAGTGTGTTCATGCAAAGGGAATTAAGGTTAAGTCATAAGCCACCTACCCAGCCACCCCACCCCCACCCCATGGCTTTTGCATTTTAATGAGGAATTTTTGGAAAACAAAATTTCATGGCTCAAATTCATAAAATATGTATCACCGACTTATAGAATCTCTGTCGGGAAATTATTTTATATATTTCAGAATACACCTACCTGTGGTGCTGTGGGTTAATGCACTGAACGGCAAACTTGCTTTGAATCTCAAGGTCAGTGGTTAAGCTCACCAGCCACTCCTTGGAAACCCTAAACAGAGTCACTGTGAGTCGGAACTGACTCGATGGCACTTAACAACGACAACTCTTCAGGTTAGCGCTGAGTGAGAAGTAAATCTAGTATCAAAAATAGTAAAACTCATACTATTGTAAAAGTAGACATTTTATTTATTCATTGCTTTATTGTATTTATACAGCACATAACTCTCCAAAGAGTTCAAGGTACTCTGCAAAAAAACGTTGAACAATTAACACATAAAAATAAACCAACAGTGAACAAAATAGGAAGTCCAAGAGAAACAGAGAGAGATGGGATCAAGTAGTGGCAAAAAGGTTAGCTAGGCAGAGGGATGTTTTAGATAGTCATTTCGTTTCTACTCAACAGAGTTGCTTTAGAAGACATTTCCCAGCTTATGTCCTTTAAAAGGAGGCCCATCCTTGCAATCGCAGTGAGAGTGCAAGGAATAGGAAGATGCCAGAGCAGGTGTCACCATTAGAATGAGTACTTAATACCTTCTTACACTTCAGCTCCCCACAACTCAAGCCTGCCACATGACTGATTTTCATGTTAGATCTTTGAATTGTGATGCCCCCATTGTTATAAAAGCTACTGAGGGAGAAGGAACACATTAAGCCATTCTTGCAGTAATGCTTGTTCATCAGGAGCCCTGAGGGGTGGAACCGTGGATAATGTGGATGGAAGTCTAGTAGAGGGAAAATTCTGAGCATTGAAGGCTCAGCCTCTGTGTATGTATGTGTGGTTGGGTGGGCAGAGTAGGAAGGAGGGCAAGTATTGAGCTTGTAAAAGAAAAAGGTAGGACAATTGAACACATCTTACTCTAGTGCTTAAATCTCACTGCATTTTCCATGCCATGGTCCCAATCCCACACTGATAGTTCCAGCAATAGTAGTACCCTGCGTGAATCCATTCATTATAATACCAGAGCTACCTGATTGTTAGCTATCTGCTATGAAACCCTACCAGCACAATTAATTTAACGGGTCCCATTAATTTAACGGGTAATGTGGCGTAGTGGTTACTAATAGGGCTGCGAACCTCAGGGTCAGCAGTTCGAAACTACCAGCTGTTCCACAGGAGAAAGATGAGGCTTTCGGCTCCCGTAAAGGTTTACAGCCTCGGAAACCCTGTACAGGGTCGCTATGAGTCGGAATCGACTCTACGGCACATAACAACAACAATGCCACTATGGAGAGACTGAAAAGTGTTACCCAACTTTACCAGAACTTAAGATCTAATGTAGAGATAAAAAGCGTCAAGGAAAAACACTGTGGGCTTCTTCCTGGTTTTTCTGTTAGATTAACATCATCGTTCTCCTTTCAAATGCCTCTCACATTTGCCCCTTATTTTCCATTTCCAACTATCAATATTTAGGTCCTTATTTTCTCATGCGTTAATAGCTGAAATAGGTTCTTAACTGGTTTCACTTGCCTGCTATTTTCAGTCCTGCCATCCTACTCACTATTGGTCATTTGCCCTACAAATCCTCGTCAGGTCCCGCCCACCTCCACTCAAAAGACTTGCTTGTGTTCCCCAATTTCCCACCAAATGTTGATCCAATTCTGAGTATTGTACTCAAAACCTTGTGTTATCTGACTTCTACTGTTCCCTCTAAATGCATCTCCCAATATTCCAAGCAAAAGCAATACCATGCAAACCGAACTCTTTGGTTTCTGAACATGTCTCTGCTACCTTTGCTATACAATTCCCTTAGCCTTAAATGTTCTCCCTCATCATCATTGCTTTGGCTCAAATGTCAACTTTCCCTGCCCCCCGCCCCCTGAAGCTTCTGATTATCATGGGAAAATATGACATCTCTCTTTGAACATTTAGGTCTTATGTTATTTAAAAGGTTTTGATCCAAAACTGCCTTGTCTTGTCTCCACTATTAGAAGGTTCCATATCAAAATATTCAACTGCCAACTTGACTCAAGACTCAACAAGCATTTCAAATGAAATGTGCAAGACTATCCCTCATCCCAGTTTTCTTCATCTTGGAAAATGACAACTCTACCTACCCAGTTGCTTAAGCCACATCTGGAAGTCTTCCTTAATTTTCCCCTTCTTGCACATAGCCGGTCTCAATTATACCTCCAGAGTATGTTCTGAATCCACACACTTTTACTCCAGCTACCTCAGTCCAAACTCCTATGACTTCCCATGGGCTACAGCAACTCGTGATACGGTACTTGACTGCTAATCACAAAGTCCGTGATTCAGACTCACCAGTCGTTCTCCATACAGGATTGCTATGAGTTGATTCTGACCTGACAACACTTAAGAACAACAGCAACAACTAGTGTCCTTGTTTCCACTCTTGTCTTATTCCACAAGTGTTTTGTCACCTTAGGATGAAGAATACAAATCTGATCATGTGACTTCTCTTATTAAAACCCTTCAATTACTTATTTCACTTAGAATAAAACCCAAACCTGCAGTGTGCTACAAGACCCCTCCCTACCTACCTCTTCTACTTTACATAATGCTACTCTACCCCTAAGGAGCTCTGGTAGTGTCGTGGTTACGAATCGGGCTGCTAACCTGAAGGTCGGCAGTTCAAAACTACCAGCGGTTCCGCGGGAGAAGGATGAGGCGTTCTGCTCCCGTAAAGATTAACAGCCTCAGAAAACCTATACAGGGTCGCTATGAGTCAGAACCGACTCCACGGTACATTACAGGGTTTATCCTTATACAGTGTTGTCAGAATTGACTCGACGGCACACAGTTACCATGGCCACTACCACTCTATCGTATGGCACGCTTCCCCAGACTCACAGTGGCCTTACAATTCCTGACATGCTGCTACCTCTGCAGTCAGATTCTCATTTCCAGCATAGGCATGGCTGTCTAGTCCTCATGCTTGTGGTCTTAGTGTTAAGGATCATTTCCTAAGACAGGCCTGCCATGTTGTTGTCAGGTGCCATTGAGTCGGAACCGACTCATAGCAACCCCATGCACAGCAGAACGAAATAATGTCCGATACTGGGCCAACCTCACCATCAATGATGCCACCTGGCC